CCCCGCATCCCGGGTGCCCTCCATGTCCTAGGGTGCAGGTGGCCCGGGGGGGCCAGGCAGGACCTACCAGTGAGTGGCAGACAGGCCGGCCTGGGCTCTACTGAGTGTGCCAAGTGCGCCCCACCGCCCAGGCCTGCCAGCCAACCCTCATCTGCAATTCCCAACCCAACCCGCATTTATCTGCAGGTTTCTGGCGGACGCATTCAGTGCGAATCCCAACCTGAACGAATAGGAGGCTATTTATAATCTTGGCGCGTCCCCCTCAGTGCAAAAATTCACGCGTTTCACTGCAGGGACCATCCCGTGTCTGAGGCCAGGGCTGTCCAGACACAGGGCAACAGGAGGCGACCTCGGGGACCGTGGCAACCAGAAGGGCAGGCTGCTGCCGGGGGCTGGCAGCAGCAACGTGGCCCCCACGGCCAGAAAGACCTCTTTTTCAAAGACATCTGGATCTTGGGTTTTTTGGGGGGCCGTTTTTGGTAAAACAAGACAAAGAGAAACTTTTCAAAAAATGGGCCACCCAATTTTTAACATTGTGCAAAGCCAGTAAAACCCATCCAGGGCTGCCGAAGTGGGAATCACGTGGAAAGCTGGGAGCCAAGAGGAGAGGGGAGCTGGGACATGAGGATGGTGCATATGATATACGTGGTCTCAGAGCTGCTTTCAGGAATTCGTCTGCTCCTCGCCGAGACCTGTCAGAGCAGCTCCAAATGATTCAATCCCTGCAAATGCAGAAATGAAAAGGGGGTTCAAGGGGGAGTAAGGAGGCCTTCTTTTTTTTTATTTTTAAAGATTTTATTTGATCATTTTCAGAGAGAGGAGAAGAGAAGGAGAAAGACAGGGAGAGAAATATCCATGTGTGGTTGCTGGGGGCCGTGGCCTGCAACCCAGGCATGTACCCTGACTGGGAATCGAACCTGCGATGCTTTGGTTCGCAGCCCGTGCTCAATCCACTGAGCTACACCGGCCAGGGCGAGGCCTTCTTTTTTTATTTTTAAAGATTTTATTTAATCATTTTCAGAGAGAGGAGAAGAGAAGGAGAAAGAGAGGGAGAGAAATATCCATGTGCAGTTGCCTCTCGTGCACTCAATACTGAGGGGACCTGGCCTGCAACCCAGGCACGTATCCTGACTGGGAATTGAATGAGCGACCCCTTGGTTCAAAGTCCACGCTCAATCCACTGAGCTACTACACCAGCCAGGGCTTTAAGAGGCACTCTAACTCTGGCTTTCTTGTCCTGAGCTTTGCCTGGATGTGGTCAGTCCAAGTCCTAAATTTCTGGGCTTCCAGGGAAGGTCGGCTGCAGAAGGAAGGGGCCTTTGGAGAATGCTCGTTCCCAGCTCCAGCGGCTGAGGTGTCGCTGTGGAGAGCGGGTTAGGGAATAGCACGATGCTCCCGTGCCCCGTGTCCCCCGTGGTCTCAAGGGTCTCCGGGCTTCTGTCTGCAGACTCTGCCACAGCAGAGCCTGGACCTCAGGCTGCAGGCGGGGGCCGGTGGGGTACATTGTGGCGGGAAGGGCGTCAGAGAGCCCTGAGCGCATCTCCCAGGTGGAGGGGAAGGAGGATGTTGGTCTGACTCTGTGCAAAGCCGCTAACATCAGCTGCAGCCGATCAGACCCTGAATATTTCCTGGACAGAACGAAAGAGCAAAGCACCCAGGACGCTCCAAGTCAGGCACACATCCCACTGTTGACCTCTGAACCTCCAGGAGGGTGAGGGGTCGTGGAATCTAAGGTCCGCATTTTACAGAGGAGGACACGCAGCCCAGAGAGGCCGAGTGACTCGCCAAGAGCGCACGGCAAGTGCCTGGGAAAGCCCTCCCCGTGGCGCGTCTCACAGACCGAGCAGAATCGCAGGTTCACGCCTTCCCACCGGGCTCGCACGCCAGGGACACGCAGGAGCCGGTGAGACTGGGGGCCACTGCCGCGGCCTTCGCCCCGATGGAAAGGGCGGCCGCCTGGCCCAGAGGTCAAGGAGCACAAACCCGGCTCCCGGAGGCCCGGCCGAGAGTTCCGACCCCAGCACTCGCAAGCTGTTCGGGCTGTTCATCGCTCTCGATCTCCTTGTCTGTACGATGGGAATTCGAGCAGCAGCAGCAGCTGCTTCGCAGGGCTGCGATGAGGTTTGAGAGCGTGCACGTAGAAAGTGCCCGGGAAGGGGTGCCAGCTGTAGGCGAGGAGGACGCTGCTGGAGGGACAGACAGGAAAGGCTGCTCGGCTGAGGACAGATGGACACCCAGAGGGAGCCAAAGCCCTAGGACGCCTCTTCTCGACAAGGCATTTTCCATTTTAGAATTTTCCCTGGTTGTCTGGCTCGTTCAGTCTTTCCTCGGCGCAGGGCCTGGGCTGCCCTGTGTGAGACCTGCCACCACGGCCAGGCCCGGGGGCTTCCGGGCCTGGGGGCTCAAGCTCCTCAGGGTCAGGGTCTGGGTCATGCTCATCTCTGCACCCCCCAACTTGGCCCTTGGGAGGCACAATGGGGGGAGCAGAGAGTAGAGGGTATGGGTGTAGGAGGCAAACTTATGGTTCAAACCCAGGCCCTGCCAATTGCTGGCAGCATCGCCCTGGAGGGGGCACTTCCCAGAATGTCTCCTGCGAACGTACTCAACTCACGTTGTGAGGCCGTGTGGGACATTCACCATGACATCCGTAAGGAATGCCCCCGAGGGCCAAGTACACAGTAGGTGCTCAATAATGGTAGCTGCTGTTCATAATGAATGTTGGCCGAGGTGACTTTGGGAATGCAAGGGCCCAGGCGAGAAAGGCAAGTGTGAGCCCGGGGGCCTGGCCCTCCCAGGGTCCTGGACAGGGAGTCGTCCACGGGGAAAGCTCCCTCGGGCCCCGCAGGCACCCCAGGCCCTGCCGGGGCCATGACCAGGAGCCACGGCTCTGAGCACCAGGCAGGGCAGGGAAGGCACCGGGCTGAGTCCGTCACACTGATCCCATCCTCTCATCACCGTGCAGCTGCCCCTCCCCTGTCCCCGTGCTGTGGACCAGGGAACGGAGACTCCGAGGGGCTGAGGCACTGGCCTGCCCAGGGCCCGCAGGCGGTGGCGGCGGGGCCGTGCCCTCGGCCAGAGAAAGGGATCAGTGCCCGAGAACCCGCACAGCCCCAGAGGGGGGTGGGTTTCCCCCAAAGTGCCCCAAAGTGCCCCCCAAGCTGCCTCAGCCGGCATGGTTTAGCCAAAGAAATGACTCCCTAAAGGTGAACAGCCCTACTCCCGATGGGAGCTGGAGCTGGGGGAGCTGGAGGGAGGTGGGAGTGAGAGGTCAGGGGTGAGAGTGAGGGCAAGACCAAGGGCCTCCCACCCCCTCTTTCACCTCCTGAGCGTGGACATCTCCACCGCGTCCTCCTGCCCACTGCAGCAGACCAGATGATTGACAGCTGGTCAACACTGCTCTGGGCCCGACACCCACCCTGCGTGAAAAACGCCTTCACTCCTGAGGCCCAGGACTCCCGGGCGACCACGCCAGGCTCTCGCCGCCGAGACAGATGAGCATCGCAGGGCCAGCACAGCTCCATGGCGAGGGATCTCGGGTTGGGGGAGAGAGTGAGCTGCAAGTCTCCCCTTCAAATCCTACCACGGGTTCGGAACGCTCAGGCAAGAACAGGCTTTAAGAAAAAAAAAAACGATTTATTTTAACACCCAGCAACAATTTCTCAAACACAACTTAAACCCGGCCGTTGACTGTATAACATGGTCTCAACGACCCAGTGCTGACCTCAGAGCCCAGTGGAGAGGTCAGTCCAGGGGTCAGACAGGCGGCCGTCAATACCCCTGCTCTGAGTGATAACGCTGGGTGGTGGACTCACAGGGTGGGCTCTGAGGAAACACAGGCACGTCACCCCACCCCGTCCCCACCCGGATCCGCCGACAGCCCAGCCGCAGGTCAGCTAGTCGCAGGCTGCCCTGCTGGGAGACCCCTCTTCCCACAAAGGGGCTGGCAGGAGGTGGCACTTCCCAAATGGCTCACACCCCTACTGGCTGAGCCCAGGCAGGAGCTGCGCCAGGCTCGCTGGGGCCGTGGTCCTGGCGCCCCTACCAACTGGCTGGGCCCCCACGGCCGAGTCCCTTCCAGTCCAAGTCTGAGCTTTGACGCCCTCCCCTGGAAACTGCAACCGGGAGAGATGAATCGCGGCTGTTCTTGTCCCGCCTGCTTGGGAATACTCGAGAGCAGCAACCTGGTCTTGGGTTCCCTCCCTGGCTCATTTCCTAGTCCCCTGGAACTGTGGAGTGCAAACATTTTAAAAAAGATTTTATTTATTTTCATTCTTAAAGGGGAAGGGAGGAAGATGGGGAGAGACACATAGATGTGTGAAAAAAACACCGATCAGATGCCTCTTGCACACCCCCATGTGCGAACCTGGCCTGCAACCCAGGCATGTGCCCTGACTGGGAATCGAACCAGTGACCTTTTGGTTTGCAGGCTGGTGCTCTGAGCCACAACAGCCAGGGCAGAAAAGTGCAAACTTTTTCTGATTGAAAGCAACCTACCAGGACATTTTGACTGTGCAGCCGGAGGCACGGAAAGTGATCCTTATCCTCACAGTGCGCAGTGCCTCTGACATCCTCTCTTCTAGTCCATTTCATTGTTTAAAACATCGACCTTTGTGACACCACTCATTAGTGCAAAGGGACGGCAGGCGGGAATGTGGGGCGGGGTGGGGCTGTGGTGTGCCCTGGTCGTGATGATGGCTACCCCGGCCCACGTCTGCGCTAGCATCCACGGCACTGTGCCCCAAAGGAAAAGCCAGGGGACCACCTGTTCTTTTTGCAAAGTCAAGTTTTAAAACAGGGACAAAAGGTCATGGTTGCGACCCACTGAACTGACTTCACGGCCCACCCAGGGGGACAAGGGTAGCATGCAAAGCCCTGCACCTGGACGCCAGGATCCTGGGGGCGGGCAGAGAAGGCCGTGGCTCTCTGCCCGTGGGCGAAGGGAGCGGGAGCGGGAGCGGGCGGGAGACTCACTTCCTGACCTTGCTCTCTCCTTTCCGCAGTGACTTCCTGCCTCGGAGGGCCCGGCGACTCAGGTGAGGAAGAGCTATGGGAGGCCTGGCGGCAGAGGGGGGCAGGGGGAGCAGGGCTGTCGTTCTGTCAGGCTGTAGGGGGTCCTGCCAATTCAGAAATCAGCACCTCCACCAGGGATAGAGAGAGAGAGAGAGTAGTCCCCCCACCACACACACAAACATGCCCACCTGCACGTGGACGCCCTCCATGGCCACGAGGCACCCCATCTGTCCAGTGCTCCCCCACCCGAAACATCCATCCATCTCTGGCATATCTTCCCAGAACCTCTCTATGCAAGTGCAAACACACATTCTTATTCTTTCCGTCACGGAGCCTGAGCACACCACAAAAGCCATGTTCCTGCCCATGACCCAGCAATCCCGCTTCTGGGCGTTCTCCCAGGAGAGGGGGCAACGTGTGCCCACAAAAAGACAAAGACAGGCACCCGAGGGTTCACAGCAGCCCAGACCTGGACACAGCCCAGATGGCCAAGGCCTGTCCACATGGGAAGCATGGGCAGCCAGAGGAAAGGACGGACTCACAGCCAGGCAGCGCCGGGGGAAATCTGCAGCCCCGAGCGAAAGGAGCCAGACTGGAAAAACCGGCGAACAACAAAAGTGCCGAATGATCTCACTCACATGACATTTTAGGGCAGACGAAAGTCATCTTGAGCGACAGAGAGCAGACCGGCGGTGGCCTGCGGCGGGCTGCAGGGAGCTTCCCCGGCGGTGGGAGGGCTCTGTGTCTGGGATTGCGGTGGTGCTACGGACGCCTGCCGTCCGTCCAGTTCCTCTGAACCAGCGCCCCTGAAATGAGCGCGTTTCACTGGGTGCAGGTTGCACCTCAATGAAGTCCATTTTAGAAGTCAGAGGAAAAGAAACAGGCACCAGGCCTGTCTCGGGTCTTCGGAGACAGACTTCCCGGGGGGGGGGGGGGGCTCTGCTGCACCCGGGGGTGGCGAGGGCCCCTCGCCCACTGCTCCAAGTTTCCCCAAGCTCCGAGGTCTGCGCCCTGTCCTTCCGGCCTGGCTCCAGGTGGCTTCAGGGGGCCACCTGGGTCAGGAGAGGCCCCAGGCGGAGACTCTGGGAAGTCCCTGCAGTGCCCCAAGGATGAGTCACAGGAGCCAGGCTGCGGGCGGGGGCCCAGAGGGAGACCTTGGGGCAGGCAGGCAGGCAGGCAGGCAGTGAGGAGCCTTCCCAGCCTGACCCTGCCCTGCTCTCTGACCCCTAGAGCTCCCGCTGAGACTGCAAGGCTCCAGCTCTCCGTGCCAGGGCCAGCTGGAGGTCCACTTCGACGGCAAGTGGCACACGGTGGACAGCCAGAGCTGGGGCCGCGGCCCGAACCGCCGGGAGGACCCCAAGCGGGTCTCCGGTCTCTGCCAGAAGCTGAACTGCGGGGACGCCTTGGTCCTGGCCCACATCTCTCACTTCAACAGCCCCCAGAACCACGTCATCTGCTACGGGCAGCCGGGGTCCTTCTCCAGCTGCAACTCCAGCATGGCACACAAGGGGGTCCCTCTGGGCCTGATCTGCTTAGGTGGGTCCCCTCGGCCCGGACGCCAGGCCTGGGATGCGGGGCCTGAGCAGGCAGGTGGAAGAAGGTCCCAGGTTTACAGTGACCGCCCCCCCCCCGCCCACCCACACACACACACACATTCACTGGTGGGGAACTGGAGCGGGAAGGCTGAGGGGTGCTGGCACCTGTCTGGCGAGATGGAAAAGGTCAAGGACCTGCTAACGTCACTGTCTCCTCTTAGCCTCCGTTTTCCCAACTGTAAAATGGGCTGGTGCCGCCCACCTCACAGGAGGCTTAGAGGCAACGGGTGGAGCGAGTGGCACTCACATCCCGAGTTGCGGGTCCTTAGGGAACGGCCCTCAGCCCCCGAGCTGCCCTCAGCCCTGCCCACGCCCCACCCTCCCCCTCCTCCCCGCTCTTTCTGGCCCCCTCACCAGAATGTCTCCTTGCAGAGCTGCCGAAGACGAGCCCTCCTACCACGAGGCCGCCACCCACCACGCCAGAGCCCACAGGTAAAAGGATTCCGAGGCCCCCGGGGGAGGGTGTCCGGTGCAGCGATTAGAAACACAGGATGCCCAGTTACATTTGAATTTCGGGCAAACATGGAAAGTGTTGGTGGAATTACGCCCCATGCAGCAGTCGGGACCTCGCCGCTTCCCAGGTCCGTCGGCCGGTCATTCACACGCTCGTGTGTTGGAGCCGAGATCCAGGAGCAGGGAGGGCCCGCCCCCCCGCCCCCCCCGCCGGCCGTCAGTGCTCAGACGCACACCCCTCCCCCTGTCTCCCCAGTGCCTCCCAGGCTGCATCTGGTGCCAGGGCCCGAGGGGCTGCGGTGCATGGGCGTGGTGGAGTTCTACAGGGGCAGCCTGGGTGGCACCATCAGCTACGAGGACCAGGACGGGCCCAAGGACCAGGACGGACCCAAGAACCTGGGGGACCTCATCTGCGGGGCCCTTCAGTGTGGCTCCTTCCTGAAGCGCCTGCCAGAGGCCAGGGCAGCCAGGAAGCAGGCCCCAGGGGAGACCGGGCCCTTGCCAATCCGGTGGGAGATCCAGGACACCAACTGCACCTCCCTGGAGCAGTGCTTCAGAAAGGTCCAGCCCCGGAAGGACGGCCAAGTCCTCGCCCTCATCTGTTCTGGTGAGTGAGCCTGGGCCAGGCCCAAGGGCGTCCCCGGAAGGTCAGTCACCGCATGTTCTCCCAAACCCCTGCAGGTGGCGCAGGGTCCAGGGCGCTGTGGGGAGCACAAGGGAGCCAGGGGGCTGGTGGTCGGCCTCTAAGCGGGAGGCAGGGTGGAATGGGGAGGCTGCAGTCACGCCAGGTGCCTTGGGAGTCTCTGCAAGGGAACTCGAACAAGTCCACATGCCCCGAACGCCATGCCACTCGGGGGAGGTGGGGCCTGCAGGACTTCCACGAGGAGACAAGGTCTGCTCTGCCGGTTCGGAAGGAGGAGGGGAGCGCAGTGGAGTAGAGGAGAGAGGGCTTGCAGGTGGGAAGCATGGCTTGTGCCAAGGACCACAGCAGGATGGGGCGGGGGCAGGACCAGCCTTGCAGGAAGGGGATTTGTCAACTCTGGGGACCACTGTCCCCGGTTGCAGACGGTGAGAGGTGGGAGGTCCCGGGCACAGCAGGCCCAGAGGAGGCCAGGGCAGGTCAGCAGGGGCCTCCTGCACAGGCTGCCCAGCCACAGAGCAGCGAGTGGGAGAACCTGGTGATGCCTGCGTGGTTGAGGGGAGGTGGCCGAGGAGTCTGGTCCACGGGACCCCGAAACCAGGATCATGGGGCACCTGAAGGGAAAGAGGCTCCAGTTCGAAACCAGGAGGAAAGGCATTGCCTGCCTGAGGGGGAAGGGACGTCTCTCCGAGGGAGGGTTCTGGCCGACCCAGACTGTAGGAAGTCTCCCGGCACGGTGGCCCAGGGCGTCCCTTCTCGCTCACAGCAGCTTCGGGGTGGGAGCTACGGCCACCCCCGCTTTACGCACGAGCAGGCTGAGGCTCAAGGAGGCGACATTTCTTGCCTAATATCACAGATCGGCAATTTTCAGCCTTTTTCATCTCCCGGCACCCAGAAACAAACTACTAAAATTCTGTGGCACACCAAAAAAAATTTCTTTTGCCCATCTCACAAAAAAAAAAGGGGTATAATTTTGATCCATTGATACCGGATGGGTATTGCTGTGGTGGCTGCCACCCCTTTTGTATTTGACAGTCTAAGGGAAAAGAGGTCAGTGCCGTGACCAAACTGCCAGGGGCCCTGAGGCGCCCGGCTGAAAATCGCTGTCACAGAGCACCGGCTGGTTTCCGCTGGGGCACGGTCAGGCCAGAGCCTGTCACCGAAGCCTCGGCTACCCCCAGGGTGGTCCAGGACGGCAGCATGGGTGTCAGCGGGGGCTGGATAGAAATGCAGACTCTCAGGCCCCACCCCCAACCTACTAAATCAGGACCCCCATTTCAGCCGGGGACAAGGATGGGTGCGTACAAAGCCAGGAAGCACTTCAGTGGACTGTGGGGCTCTCCTGCGGGTGGAGAGGCCCCCACGTATTGGGTGTCTGGCGTGAATGAGTCAACACTGCCCCCTCCAGGCAGAAGCTGGACCCCACGGTCTCTTGGCCCGAGCAAGGCTGGCTCTGAGCCCCACCCAGCCCTCCTGCAGGCTGCAATCTGCAAACCACACCCGGGGAGCTGGCCTTTGACATTTATTCTATGTAGAATTTACTAAGCCTTTGAAGGCGGATGTTGCTATGGAAACTGACCAAAGCTGGTGTGATCCCAGCTCCCTCTGCACTGACCAGCAGGGCCTGGGCGGCAGTATTTCTGGCTTCTGTCCCTGCTGTGAGCTGCCAGGACTTGGAGCGGGAGGGCGTTCCCATCCCTGGGCCTCAGTTTCCCTGCCTGAAAAGCTCTCCCGCCTCCCAGGGAGCAGCAGGAGAAGGAGCGGATGTTTCTAAAAGGAAAGGGGATCCCACTTCCCACAGCTTTTCCCACTGCCTGCTGGCGGCCGCCACAGGCATCGCCACCTGCCAGCTTCATCACCGATCCAAGGGCCCAGGCTGTTGCGTCTCAGGACAGCTGCTGGCAGCTGCCCAGGAAAGGGGGGAAGTGGCAGAGACGATGGCAGAAAGGAGAGGACAGAAAGAAAAGTTGTGTTGCGTGGCACCAAAGCCCCCTGCGAGGTGGCCGCCACTCTGCCAGTGGCAGGGGGGTCCCAGGGGCCAGGCGTGCAGGCCGAGGGTGGAGGAGGCTCCCTCCAAGCCTCATCTCCCGCTGTTTCTCCTCCCCAGATTTCCAGCCCAAGGTGCAGAGCCGCCTGGCAAGGGGCAGCAGCACGTGTGCGGGCTACGTGGAGGTGCGCCGGGGCCGGCAGTGGGAGGACCTGTGCCACCACTCGCCCTTCAAGGTCCCCTCCCGGTGGAAGGAGGTGTGCCAGGAGCAGCGGTGCGGCAACCTCAGCTCCTTCGAGGTGCTGGAGGCCGGAGACCAGACCTCCCGGGGGCTCGTCTGTCACCAGGAGAAGCTGTCCCAGTGCTACGAGTTTCAGGAGATAACCCACTGCCAGAGGGTGTTAGTCACGTGTGAGTCTGCTGCTGGGGGGGGGGGGACAGTTCTGGGTTTTCCCTCTACGGCCCGGTCAGCGAACGAGCAGGACCGGGAGCCCCAGGCCCCCCAGAAAAGGGTGGAGAGATGGCACCCGCGGGGAGGGCGGCAAGAGCGCGCAGACAGCAATGAGCACGAGCCACAGAGAGAGGACTGGCCCTCACTGTCAGGCAGCCGGTGAGGGACAGAAGGCCCCTCTGCCTTCTACGTGTCCAGGAGGGGCGGGAGTGAAGCCAGGTGGCACACATGGCCCCTTTCATGGTAACCGAGTGACACATTGAAGAGAGAGATGGAGGCACGGCCGGCCGGCTATTGGTACATGACCATGCGCTGGTGCCATGTATGGTGGCCAGGCGATCGCACGGTAGGAAGTTCAGTAATTGGTTACCAAAGCGGCAAGTGACAGCTGGACGGCCGAGTGGCAGGCAGATGCTAAGGGGAATGGAGGGTTGTGTAGCGCGGAATTCCAGAGGCGGTGGAGGGACAGCCGTGTGGGCGAGTGCCTTCCACACGTGCTGCACAGTCACGGGGAGGAGCTGGGCAGCAGCTTCCCTCTGAAGGGGTAGATTTGACGCCCACGGGGTGGGACTGAGCTGAGCCCCTTGCCTTCCCCCGCAGGCAAGGATCCGAACCTGGCGGGCCTGGGCGCGGCCGCCGTGGCGAGCATCATCCTGGCCCTGGTGCTCCTGGTGGTGCTGTTGGTTGTGTGCGGCCCCCTCGCCTACAAGAAGCTGGTGAAGAAATGTAGGTGCCGCTGCCTCAGCCACCCCCCACTCAAGCCCCTGTGCGGGGAGAGGAGCAGGGGCCCTGCCTCTGCTTCCACACCCAGCCCCACCCCTCTGCCATCGACTTGGCTTCCTCTGCCCAAAGTACGAGAAACAGAAAGTCAGGAACAGTGTGGTGGCTGGTGCGCCCACAGCGGGGGCCCAGCTGAGACCCACTCCTGGCCAAAGGGAGGATGTGGCCTTCGTTAGCTGGTGATGGGCCCAGAGGGTCATCAGCATGGCCTCTGACCTCAGGAGACACGTGTCTCGGACCCAGTGCCACCACCTCCCAGCTGTACCTGATGGTGACTAAGCCACTTCCTCTCGGAGCCTCAGTTGCCTCATCCACAAAATGGGCGATTACTCACCCAGTGAATATAGCGGGTTGCAGTCTCCGTCTTGCAGAACTCGGGAGAACATGATTCAAGGACAAGGAAGGGAGATGAGGGGCTGAGAAGCGAAGGCCCAGAGGCAGGCAGTGTTGGCTGGGTCCCTGCCACCCTCCCAGATCTTAATTCTGGTTCTGAAGTCGTTTCCGCTGCAGAACCAGTCACCTCTAGCAAGAGATGGGTGCAGGTTCCTCCCCAGCAAGTCAGAAAACCGAGGCCCCCAAAGGTTCCAGGGGGGCAGAGCCCAGCGGTCGCCCCCTGCAGGGGCGCCTGCCCCCCTCCCCACCCCTCCACTCCCTGCTCCTGCCTCCACCCTGACGTGCCTCTCCCGTCTGTTGCCCAGTCCGCCAGAAGAAGCAGCGCCAGTGGATCGGCCCGACAGGAATGAGCCAGAACAGTGAGTGTCCCCAGAGGCAGGGTCCGTCCACAGCCCGGCCAGGGTCCCCCCACCCCCGCCCCGGCTCAGGAAGGAGGCCTTGGAGGCAGGGTCGAGGCTCACTGCCGACCCCCTCCAGAGCCAGGGGCTGCCCGAGGGCTCTGACCCCCACCATGCGGCTGAGGGATGGCTGTGCCAGCCAGTGCTCATGGTGGCCCTCAGAGAGGAGGACTCTGGGACCACTCAGATTCCCACGGCCACGCGGGAAACAAAGCTGGACTTGCTTCCTCATTGCGGGACTTATCAGAGCCTTCAGGGGCATTTCTGCCTGGTTCATCCCCAAAGCGGGGGCACGTGAAGAAGGGTTGTTCATGCCGGTTCCCTCAGTGTCTCGGTCGTGGGACAACCTTCGAAGGCCAGCCGTATAACATTCTGACGCAGCCAGCCCAACCCCCACCCAGCCTTCGTCTTCCCTCCTTGCAGCCCTGCCCGGGCCACCCTCCCGGGTGGAACCACGGCTCTCCTCCTCCTCCCTCCCGCTTCGTATTCTTCCCCCCTTTGCCCGGAGCCAAACCCTTCAGGAAGGCTCTGTGTTATAGGTCACGTCTGCTGTTATAAATAAAGGCCCTCAGCTCTGGGAGGGCAAGGGGGTACACCTACCCTGTCTCCTATGTTCCAATTCCCTGCTTAAAACATGTTTGATGACTGACTAACAGACTGACCAACAGACCGACCAAAGGCCCAACCTGCCAATCAGCTCTAAGTCTGACCCCTGCTAGTATGAACCTGTCCAGAGAGAAAGGAAAAGAGGGACATGTTAGAGGAGCCATGGGTGCCCTTGCAGCACCGCCCCCCCGCCCCCCACCCCCGGCCTATCACACAGTGGGAACGGACATTAAAGCTCGGGCCCCTGTTGGGAAGGAGGATGAGGACTCAGCACGTGTCATGACGATGTCTCCTGCGTCTGTCTGCTCAGTGTCTTTCCACCGTGATCACGCGACCACAGTCCGCCGATCCCAGGCCGATAACCCCACAGCCTCACACGTGGAGAATGAGTACAGCCAGCCTCCCAGGAACTCCCAGGTCTCCGCTTATCCAGGTGAGCACTGCCTGCGCTCCGAGGAGGCCTGGGGGGGGGGGGGGGGGTGGGGGGGTGGGGGGGCGGGGGGCGGGGCTGGAGCAGGGGTCACGTGATCACCCAAAGAGGAGGGGGGGGAGAGGGGGGTGACCTGCCTGCTGAGGGCGCTCACAGCAGGGTGAGGAAGGAATGCGGACTTCACAGGCTGTTCAGCTGGAGAGGAGGCGCTGGGATGCCATTAACCCCAGCACCGCTGTGACCCCACAGCCCGGCATCTCTGCAGGGCACTGAGGGCGAGGTGGCCAGTGAGGCAGAACGGAGCCACCCAGAGGCCCCGGGGAGCCGGTATTGAATGCTCCCAGGCTGGCACTGACAACGAAGCCCCAGGGAGACTGGAGTTCAGTGTCATTAGTGAACAGTTGGCTGGTTTGACCGAAACAGATCCATGGCTGTCCAGCCACCAGCTCCGGGAGCCCCCCTGATCCCTGACCCCCCCGTGGGGCTCTGGGCTCTGAGGGCGCGGTCTGTGCAGCCCGGGGCGCTGAGCCCGGCTGCAGCGGCCTCCTTTCTCTCTGCAGCTCTGGAGGGGGCCCTGCATCGCGTCTCCACCCAGCCCGACAACTCCTCCGACAGTGACTACGACCTGCACGGGGCTCAGAGGCTGTGAGAGGTGAGCACGGGGTCCCCACGCCACCGCGCTGGGGATGAGCGCCAGCCACTGGACGCCTACCTCCCACCCGCCTGCCCGCCCGCCCATCCGTGAATGGGGCGTTCCAAGGTCTGGGCTCACGTGCAGGGAGAGAATAAGTAAGCCTCGAGGATTCGGGGGATGGGGGCTGACCTGGCGATTAGAGCAGAGGACTCTCCCCAGCCTTACCGCCACCTCTTCCACTCCATCTCAGGAGCCCACCCGAACGGGCCCCTCCTAGGTGGTGCGCTTTTACACCAGGGCTGCCAGCAGGAGGGAGAAGCCCCTGACCCAGAGGGGCAGCCACTGGCCCCAGACGCTGAGCAGGGGCCTCGGGGCCTGCCCCCCACCTCCCAAAACCAGCTCCCTGTGTGAGGGGTGTGAGGTTTCCTCCCCTGACACATTCCCTTCTCACCCACAGACCCGGGAAACGGGAACCGACATCCAGAGCCAAAACGTTTGTCCTGAGAACATTCTGCATTTGCCGCTTGGAAATACGTCCCCCCGGTTTCTGCCCCCGCCAGAACCCGGACGGAGGGCAGGGGGCCTTTCGAACATCCCCGCAGGAGAGGCCTGGCCCAGGGGAGACCCGCCCGACAGCTCCGCCGACCCCGCAAGTGTGGCGGCTGGGAAAGGGCCGAGCCCACAAACAAGGAGCCACCCCCACCCCGGGCAGAGACATCTGGGGGGGCCAGGCCCCAGAAGCCCCCGCCCCTGTCTGTGGGGAGCAGCGCCCGAGCAGAAGGGGCTCTCTGCTCAGGCCTGGACCCCAGTGAGGACTGACGGGACGCTCACGGTGCGGTGTGGGGACAGGTGGGAGCTGAGTACTCTACTGTATTTCCAATATGTTGTTTGTAAATAATGCCTTTTCTACTTCCTGAGAATTAGTGTCCGGCCTCCTCCATCCAAGGTCACCCCCTGTCCCTCTGGAGATGCCTGAGGGCAGGGGCACCCGTCGGGGGGCTCCGCAGTCCTCCGGTGGGAGGGCTGCTCACCTGGCACAACGCGGCCCAGCGCAGCAGCCCCTCAGGGTGATGTGTGGCCCCCGACCCCGCGCCCTGCTCCACCCCTCCCTCTGTGGCCTCCCCCAGACTCCTGCTTCTTCAAGGTGCCTCCCTACAAGAGAGCAGGGACTGGGGCTGGCTGTCAAGCGCAAAGGGCCCTAGCGCCGCCTGACGGCCCGGCACCAAGGGGGGACCCAGTAAACCCTGGCTGAGTGGGGGTTTGTTCGCCTCGCACGGCAGTTAAAAGTGCACGGTTCATGGGGTGTCAGCCGGTCACAGTTAACTGCCTCCCTGGAGAGTCAGAGGCCGAGGCTGAACAGCCTTGTGGGTTCAATAGCTCCCTCAACAGGAACAGTCTCCCTACGGGTCAGTGAGCAGAGACACACACCCCGAACCCTGAGGTGCCTGGGTTTCCTTCGGCACAATCGAGAGGAGGACGGCTGAGTGGGGGCTGATCGGGGCCTGTGGCTCTCGTGAAGGGAGAGGCGGAGCCAGGCCTCACTAAGCCCTTGGGCTTCCCAGGGCTCCGTGAGAACACGAGAGCACGTCTCGGACCTGGGCCTTTTCCCCGCCCCACTGGCCACGGTATCTGCCACCGGGAGCAGCAGACAGCCGTGGTCCCAGCTTCAGCAGCCACTCTGGGAGAGCACCAGGGGTGACCACACGCATCCTGGGGAACACTCTGCCGCCTCCGGCACCCTCCCGCCAGGCCTCTGCCCTGTCCCTGCTCTGGACTCGCGTCCCACGAGAGCCCAGTGGCCAAGCCCAGGGCCCGGGTCCAAGCTGGGAGCCCAGAAACAGAGGCAACCCGCCCCCTTCCCATGCGAGGCAGGGGTGAGGGCCCTCCAAAGGAGGCTGAGAGGCGGATCTTAAGGTCTGGCAGAGGGTGCGAGGCAGATGCCCCCTACCAGCACCTTTCTCCATAAAAGCTCGCCCGCCTCTAGCCTGGCCACCACACAGGGGCCTCAGTGCAACCACAGCCTGCCTCAAAAAACACACTCCCCTCCCCACCCCCCCCACCCCCCCAAAGGGGGGTGCTGAGGCAGACGTCTCTGTTCCCCTGGTGGTGGCAGGTGATGCATTCCAAAAAGACCTGCTTGAGCGACTGAATGGGAACTGTCTCGGCCTTGGGAGCACTTTTGCCGAGTTCTGGCCTCGGCAGGTGGACCCTGCCCATGGGCCCACGGGCCAGCCAGGCTTCGCCCTCAGCCCTGTGCCCCAGGCGACTTCTTGGTCCGTATTACCCCATCACAGCCACATGCCAGAGTAAAGCAGGGGCCGCCCCTGAGCCAGACAGGGCGCCGCTCACCTGTGTGCCCCCCACCCCAGCCCACTCCCCTGAACTGTGTTACTCGACCGGCCCTAGAGGCAGTCCACGCGCCACCTGATTCTAGCACATTCTCTTCATGTTAAGTCACCAGGAAAGTGCACCTGGACCCCCAGCGACAAGGCTGGCTTTGGCGTGGCCAGGGGCCTGGGGCCTGGGAGTGCTGCATGGGACCCACCGGGCGCCTTTCTCACCGAGCTGGGAGTCTCTTGGAGGCTCTAAGGTGGACACTTGGGGCCTGTGTCCCGTGCAGCTGCCCTGCAGCAAGAGGCCCGCCGCGGTGGGTGATGGGTGGGCGGGGAGGGAGGCGGGGGGAGCGGGCGAGGGCCAGTGTGCGCCAGACCCACGGTGCGGGTGGACGGTCTTCGAGAAGGAAGAACAAGGGCCAGCAGGGGTGCCACACACTGGGTGACCGGCTGCGGCCGCTCCGAGCCAAGCTCCTTTCTTAGAAGGTGGCACCTCCTCTCTTCAGCTGCTCCGCGCACCCTGCCACCAACGCAGGGCAAGTGACTTGACTGTGCCCCTCGAGTGAGGTTTTCAGCCTCTTCCTACAAAGCCAGACTGTCCTGTTCGCCCTGGTGTCCTGTGTCCTCAGTGCGGGACACTTGCAAGGCAAGGCCAGAGTTCAGGAGGGGACAAAGGCAGGGGACATTTGCCTGGAGCCCGGGGACTCAACCGGGGCTCTGATCCCCACAGCGTTGTGGCCTTTCGAAGTCTGACAACTTCTGGTACCACAGAGGCCGGGCAGAGGAGCCCCTGAGGCCAGGTCAGACAGAGCTGGGGGCGAGCCCCACCCCCGACCGCTGGGCTGTGTGCCCGTCACTGAACAGCCCACCCTTGTGTAAAGTGGGGGCCGGGTGGGGGATCAAAGCACTGTTGAGAGGACCCGTGATAAGGCACATTGGAAGCTTCACACAATGTGTGCGGCCCTGCTGCCAATGCTGGTGACTCGGCATCGTCCACAGGCAGCCTGCCCTTGCCGCCTCGTGTCACCGCGCAGGGAAGGAAAAGCAGGCCCATCAGAAACCTGGTCTCCGGACTCCCAGGAAGCCACCCTCCCTGCTGAAAGCAGAAGCCCCTCCCAGGCCTCCTGACTACCCGCTGGGCTGGCGGGGGTGGGGGGGGCGTGGAGGGAGTACCTGGGACGGGGCAGGCTGGCCCATGGCAGGGAACCACCAGGCTCCTCAGCCAGTTCAGCAGCCCCCTGCCCCTCCCCCAGCATAGAAGCGAGAAGGGAAGACTCGGACCCCAGCGGGGGCTCCTGGACAGGCTGAGAGCAGCTGCTGTCAGCCCCACAGGTGGCAGGAACACGCACGCTGCCCGGCAGGGCCGCGCCCCACAGGGTCCAAGCGCTCCACGGAGGGCGAGGCAAGCGTGCAGGCTCAGGTGTGGGAATGAAACGCCCCAGATGGAAAACCACAGCAGCAGGGGAAGGGAAATACTTAAGAGCCAGGCCCCCCGGGGGCGGGGGGGGGGGTGAGGGGGCGGGGAGGGTGGCAGCTCGGGATATCCAGATGGAGGGGCTCTGTGGACTTGAATCAAGGAGGCTTTCAGCAGGGCGTGACCCTGAAGGCGGTGGAAGAAACCAGCGCCCGCCCCCACGGCCCCAGGCAGGCCCCTCCACTTCTCCAGCCCACCGGAGCCACAGCACTGCACAGGACACCTCGGCTCACTGTGGCAATCATTTATACGACACACAAGTGGTCATTCACCCAGTTCCGGAGCACTCGAACCAGCAGAGTCCATTAGTGATTTCGCTTTATAAATAACTTATGAGAAGCAAGCACAGTTGGCAAGGGACCGACAGCGCGGCTCGAGCGTCTCGTCTGCGCACCCACTGGGGGCACTCGGGCTGGGGGGGGCAGGCACCAGAAGGTCGAGTTTCCTTGTTGGCCCCCCGCACCCCAGGCCGCCAGACTCCGGGTGCTCGTGTAGTGGACATTTCAAGGCACATATGACTCCCTAACCGGTAGCAGCTCCAGGGTCTGCCCTTGAGACCTGGTTCCCATCTGCAACAGCCAAGTTAATGCTTTGATCCTCACGCCCCCTTTGGTCTGTTGTCGTGTCTCTCGCCGATCGGGCTCAAACCCCCCAGCGTGCTGGGGGCTGCGCGTGGCTCCGAGTCCCCGTCCTCGTCCTTTGCATTCTGAACACGAGAGAGGTGCAGAGAAACGGACTCCGACATACCGATGGTGTTTTAGGAAGCACCATTTGGGAGGTGACTGTTAGGGCATCTTTTGATGTCTGTCCTAGGGGGGATGTTGGGGGTGGGGAGTTACACCAGGGAGCCAGAGGAAGGGGACGGGGGGTGCTGCTGCGAAGGAGATTCAAGGCACTCGAGGAGTGGAGGGGCGGGGGCGGCCCCCCAGGAAGAGAGGGTGGCTGGGGAGGCGACCTGGCACTCCACTCCTGAGTGACCCCCCCCATGTGACCACGATCTCCTGGGTCGGAGCTACCTTCTCCCGTCCGTCCAGCCAGAGGGTTGGAAGTGGCCGCCCCCAGATTTTCCAGCCAGAGCGAGCCAGGTCCGGGCTCCACCCTCACAATCCCATCTTCTCGCCGAGCTGGCCCTGCTGCTGCCCTTCAAACCAGCATGCAGCACGTTTCTCTGACACCAGCTCATCAGAGTTCAGTTATGGCTTTTACGTGACTGAAAGTCATGAAGCGTTTTCCCCCGTCCTCGCCCCGTGACCCAGCCCTGGCCACGGTGCGTCGGGGCAGGCCATCCTTGAATGGACCAGAGGCACAAAAAGCTGCATCCCTTAGTGCAAGGCACCACGTCGAATATGCCACATCCCAGGGGAGGGGGGTGAGCGGGGGCCGGCGGACCCGCCAGCTGCCATGCCACCGGGGCGGGTCTGCACTGGGGGGCTCAGGTGTCCCGGAGCGCAGACACAGCAGACGGTCACGGAGGCAGAGCTCACTCATGCAGACAGCCACAGAGAGGCGCTGCGCTCCCAGCCTGGCTGCCACCGGACAGGCTAAGGCCGTCACTGGAGGGAGGCGTGTCCTTCTCCGGGGAGGCCCGTAAGTGCCGTGACAACAGGGACAACCGGGGCCCGCAGACTCCCAGCCAGGTCCCCGCAAGTCCATGGGGCGTGCCGACTCCACTTCCAATTTAACCTTGAATCTCAGCAGTAGGTGGGCCAAAGGTGTGGTACAGGTGGAAGTAGGGAAGGGCCTAGGGCCAGGACCCCGTCTAATACCCGGGCCAAGCAGGACCCTGAGGTGACGGAAACCCGTAGGGAGGAGCCGGCCCAGGGGGGTAGGGCGGCCGAGGGGGGCCTAAGGGCTGGGGCTGGCCCGGGAAGCCCGGGAGCGGGGGCTGCGTTGGGTAAGGAGGTTTGCCTCCTGTCGAGAGGTAGGGGTGCTGCTGAGGATAACCAGGACCGGGAGCCCGGCCCCCCGCCAAGGGGTACCCGGGCCCAGAGGCACCAGAGGGGGGCACAGAATAGCCAGGCCGGGGTGGCGTGCTCCTCTGTGGGGACCAGGAGTAGCCCGCAGCAGCCCTGGGTCCCGGCTGGGCTGACGGGTACGGGGGGCCCAAGGGACCACCGTAGGAAAGGGAGGGCGGGGGCACCCCCGGGAAGGGGGCCGGCTGGAGCGGGCCTTGGGCAGTAGGACCCACCGGCAAACTGGGAGAGGGGCTATAGGGCAAGGAGTAGGGAGGCACTCCTGAGGGCGCAGCCGGTGGCAGTGGTGGGGGCGGCGGCTCTTCGGCCGCGGGTGGCGTCGCCTGGGGCACTGGGCGGGACGGCAGAGGCGGGCGGAGAGGAGGGGCGTCACCGGCTGGCTCCTGGGAAGCTCTGGGCTTCCTCACCACATCCTGGAGCTTCTCCACGCGGACCCGGCGCAGATGGGACAGCATCCTCATGGAGGAGAAGTTCTCCAGGAATGTTTCCAAGGACACCTCACCCTCCAGGAATTTCTCAGCCATGGCCTGGAAGACATAGGTCAGGTGACAAGAGAGGCTTGCTGGGAACAAGGCCACCCGTGGTCCCCCAGGTCACAGACCAGCCACGGCCCTCCCACCTCCGCTGCCCTCTCTGGCTCCTCACTGCCGATATGCACACGCTCCACAGCTCACTCTGCCCTCCTCACCAGAGTACCAGCTGCTGGAGGGCAGGGACCATCTGTCCCAGTCACTGCTGTCCCCGCCCCTGCACTGTGCCTGGCCCCATGGCTACTGCCTGTGGGTGCTGAATAAGCGAGCAACACTGGCTGCTGGGTTGCTGGGGTGGCCAGCCCAGGGCTTCGGAGGGCCTGGCGGCTTCCTGCGCCCAGAGCATGGAGGACAAAGACTGGAGAGAGCCACCCGCCTGCCACCGCTGAAGGGACAGGCGCTCAGAGGAAGCAGAGAGGCCAGGCAGCCCCCGGGAAGCGGAGGGGCTGGGGCCCTGGCCTCAGTCCTCGGGGGCCCTGCTGCCCTGCGCTCCATCCAGGCCTGCCAGCTGCCTGTGACCCTGCCATCAGTCACCCATTTCTGCTTCAGCCAGGGAGACCGGGTCCCTGTTCTCCGCATCCTAAAGGCCCCCTCTGGGACAAAGGGTGCCACTCATCTTTGCAACCTACTAAGGCGCCCTCGTCCCGCCCTCTGCAGACACCCGGTGCTCACGACAGGGCTCCTGCCCTGGGGGCCGACGCTGCGCGAGGAAGAGGGGGTGCTGATGACCCTCTCACCTCAGACTCTTCTTCAATTTTCATGCTCTCGATCTGCAGAAGGTCTAGCAAGGTCCCTGGCTGCAGTGCCGAAGAGAATTTCTCTGGAACAGAGGGCAGAAAGGCTGACGGTTCAGGAGGATTCAGAGTTGGAGGCCAAGGCCCCCGCCAAGGCCCCCAGAGTGTCCTGTGTGTGCTGAGGCCGAGCCACTACCCTGTGGTGGCTCCCTCGGGCCGCCCTCCTGAGCGGAGAGGAGCTCGGCCGAGCCCAGCCCAGGCCTTCGCTAACCAGCCTCCCACGCCCAGCCCTGTTCGGGGCCCCACAGGGCACCGCGCTTCCCCGCTGTCACACCCTGACAGCCCTGGCCGCCTCCACAGAGGCAGTGCAGGGCGCAGGCTCTGTGGGCTCGAATCCCAGCTCCACTGCTAGCTGGCTGTGCGACCCTGGCCACACTCTGGGATCCCTGAGCCTCCTTCTCCTCACCCACCCTTCTATGGCCGTAAAGACAAAAATGCACGCAAAGCGCTTCTTAGCACAGGGCTGGGGCATGGTGAGCTGCAGTAACTGCTGGCCCTCTCCCATTCTGGGCGAGGGAGAGGGCATCTATTCTTCTATGCTATTTTTTTTAAAGATTTTACTTCTTTATTTTTAGAGCAAAGGGAAAGGAGGGAGAGAGGGAGAGAAACACTGATGTGCGAGAGAAACATCAATCAGCTGCCTCTCCCATGCACCCCAACTGGGGACCTGGCCTATGACCCAGGCATGTGCCCTGACTGGGATCGAACCAGCGACCTGTGGGTCTGTGGAATGACACCCGATCCACTGAGCCACACCAGTGAGGGCCTTCCATGCCACTCCAGCAGCTCTCCCAGTCCAACCTTGAGCAGCCCCCGAGTTAACAGAGCCCCCCAGGGCACCCTCCCGGGGTCCGGCCGCCCCTACCCAGCTTTGCCTTCTGCTCCTGGCACCGCTCCACAAGCTTCCGGAGCTCCTGGTACTTGTCCGAGAGGTTTGAGCGGCTGATCTCCAAGGGACCTTGGAACTCCAGGTTCTGCTCAGCCAGGCTCCGGTTGGTGGCCAGCGCCATCTCCCGTTCCAGCTGTAGGTCCTGGACCTAAAGAACAGGACGCTTGACCGTAAGAATCACCAACCACTACCACTCACCGCACAGCAGGCTGGTCCGGGGGCTTCTGGGACTCACTGCCCACCGTGGGCAACCACAACACTGAGCCCTCAGTTAGAGTCAGATGGACCTGGGTTCAAACCCTGAGCAAGCACTCTGACCAGGCACCCCACGGAGTGACTGCAAACGGGATCAATCGGATGGGCCCACACCCCAGCCCGAGAACGCCTCCTCCTGGAGGTGCAGGGCCACAGGCCCCGGGGAAAGGCAGCTACGAAACGGTACCAGGGCTTCTAGAAACCGCCTCCAGACTCAGGCTGCAACAGTGCGGAACTGCTGGGGTGTGGGGGTTCGAGTGAGGGCCCAGACTCCCTAGCACTGCCCCCTAGGGCCCCCAAAGGGCCGGGGAACTGGGTTGACACCTCAGGGGCATCTCTGTGGGTCCCAGCTATGGGGAAGGCCACAGGAAAGGGAGATGAACTTGACCCAAACTCCTTAAGTGCCTCAGTCCCACCCATAGGCCCTTCCTTCTTGGGCCCCATGACAGCCTGCCTCTACCTCGGGGGACTCCTGGGCCAGCCGATCAATGGCTTCCGGGTCATTCTGCATTGCCTCCAGCTCCTCCAGGGTCTTGTCTTTCAGGGTCTCCATCTTGCCCTGTAAACACAGAGTGATTCTGGTGTGAGGAAGAGAAGCTCGTGGGGAAGAGACCCCTGGGCCCATCTGTATTATCTGTGAAAGCGGAGAGTTTTGTGAGGATGCTTCCACCCTCGGGGGGGCGGCGGCTCAAGGAGGGGTAAGGGTCCCATTTAGTGTGTCCCTGCCACCCTGCCTGCCCCTCTCCCCAGAGACCAAGGAGCTGTCCAACCACGGACAGCAGGGCATGTGGAAGCACTCGGCAGCCAGGGGGAGAACACGGAGGAAGCTGCCCAAGGAGCAGATGGAAAGGGCAGGAGGAGAGAGCCAGGCAGCCGGGGACAGAGCGGAGACTGGCCCATGGTGGCCTGCGAGCCCTGATGACAGCGGCCACTCCGGGAGGTGGCTATTTCTGTCTGAGCCAGAAATAGACCCAACCCTCACACACACAGGCCCCGGGCTTCCACATCGCAGGCTCAAGGCCGCTGCGGGTTATATTTAGGCCACTGACAGCCTTGGGTCCCCTCGGTGTTCTCTGCAGCTGCCATCCTCCCCACATGCCACAAAACCGGACTGTCACATTCCCGTCCCCGTCCTCATCACCACAGGGGAAAAAAGGTGTCAAACTGGCTTCCAAGGCAATCAGGAGGAAAAGAAATGGACCGACCTGAATAGAATGCCCGCTCTGACAAAGAGCTAGTTTCGGCAGTCCCTTCCCTCTGCCATTCTGCCCGGAGGGACACTGACAGATTGTCTGTATGACAAGGGGTCACGGCCGGACCCCAGGGACCAAGAAGAGAAAGCATGCACATAAATACACCCAGTACTCACTTCCTTTCTGCTGACAGGATCCTCTCTGTTTATCTGTTTTTGGCTTTCCCAGAGAGGCAGTTTATAGCATTACTGTTGGTTTTACCCCTACAAAGGTTGCTAGTTTTCTGCAGATTCTGACACTACAGGAAATCTGAAGTACCCCACAACCCCACACCAGCGCCGGCCTCCAGTGAGCCGAAACCTGCCGCTCGGCCAAGGAGGCGTTTTGGAATCGAGCACCGAGGTTACAGCCAGAAGCAACCTTCTCTGGGGCCCAGTCTCCCCATCTGTAACAGAAACAGAGGCACCTCCTAGGGCCCTGAGAGCTGAGAAGAGAAACTGATAAATATTGACCACCCCACCCCCCATTTTCCAGGAAAGTCTTGCTTTATGCCTCACCTCCCTGCGTAGCTATCAACGGTGCCCCTTCCCACGCTCAGAAACACCCCGGTTCAGACAAATCACAGGCAGACCTCGGAGACCGTACGGGTTTGGCCCCGGAGCACAGCAAGGGAACGAGTGCCACAGCAACGTGGGTCCTAGTCTTTCTGCCGGTGGAGGACCTTGCCTTCGATTTGTAAAGATCACCACACCCCTGAAACACAATGAAACGGATGTGCCTGGATGCAGCCACCCTACTGATAACGTGCCACCCAAACAGAGCCACCACCACGTCCGTCCGGTGGTATCTACTGAGGGTGGAACGGAGCCCCCAACCTTGCAAGGAAGGACTGCCAGGCTTCAGTGAGCACCTGAGCCCCACCTGCCGGGCAAGCCCGGGAGGGGCCCAGGAATGCAGACTCTCCAGGAAATGCTGATGCAACCGATCCGGGGCCAGAGTCTGAGGAAGACAGCAGACGGCTCCTTGCTAGTCGTGTGACAGTGGAGGCTACTGGATACTGAGTGCCAGAGAATGAGTTTTACAATACATGTGCTATCCCTAATTCTTTGAGGTGGCAGTTGTCCCACTTGCAGATGGCAGAGTCAAAACTGAAACCTGCACCCTGTCTACACCTCCCCCCACTGCTCCCGAACCCGTGGTCTAAAAGCTGGGGCGGGGGACAGCAGACTGCACGGGACCCAGGGAGGAGCTGAGCTCCGGAGGCCCAGTGTCCTGCCAGGAGCAGGACAAGCAGGGCAGCATTCTGATGCATGTTGCACAACTTGGAAACATGTCGGGAGCCTGGGGTCAGTCAGACCACCCGAGTCCGAGTTCCGGGCCCTGCCACTTACCAGCCAGCGGACTCCGCCCAAGTGCAACCTGCCTGAGCCTCAGGCTCCTCATCTGTGAAATGGATCAGTGCAAGGTTCAGCGCGATTCAGTAGGTGGAGCGCCGGCTCAGCACGAGGCCTGAACTAGAACAAATGCCAGCAAGAGACTGCAACACTTCAGAACTTACTTATTCCTAAGGCCTCCAGGATGGCCCCACTTGCTGAGGCTCCGCAGCAGAGTGCCCAGCCCTATTCCACCCCGGGGAGGGGTCTGCCACCGAACAGGGCACTGAAGGGAAGGGGCTGGCTGTGAGGGCCCCAGTAATGGCCAAGGCTGCTGGAGCGCTGGCTCTGCTCTAGGTGCAGCTGGTCTCACAGACGAGGAACTAAGGTATGAGAGGCTAAACCGCACGGCTGGTGTGGCCCAGGAGACCAAACCCAGGCAGTCGGCCTCCAGGGTTTATTCTCCTCCGCTCAGCTCTGGGCCAGTGGCTCTCAAAGTGTGTTCCCAGCACCCCGGGGCAGTCTCCAAGCCCCTCTGAGGCTGTCCAAGAGGTCAGAATGACTTTCATGATCCAAAACATTCTTTTTCTTTTTACTCCCTTTCTCACATACAGGGGAGCTTTCAGAGGGTCCCTGGCATGTGATCATGCGATCATTCTGGCAGCCAATGTGTGTGCCTGCAAGTTGTGTTTTAAATTTTCCTCAGTTTTAGTTTCCAACACAGTGAATACTAACAGCTAAAACCCACATCGATGCAAACTCTGGGAAATTCAGTAATGGTAGCAGTGAAAGGTGTCCCTGGACCCAAAGATGCGCTGTCTGCCGCCCAAGGCTACGCTGCCTGCTGTGTAGGGCTGTCCCTGCCGGGCATGACACCTCCCGTGGGGCGTGGCTGAGGGGACGGGGCTGGTGCCCGTCCTAGGGAATTGCGGCTTTACTCTGCTCGGGGCTCCTCTGGTGGGCGGGCGCGTGGAAACCTCAGGGATAAGTAAGTTCTGTGGTGTTGGAGTCCTCCGCCAGCACTTGTCCTGGGGCAGGTCTCCTGCTAAGCTGCGCTCTGCCTGCATTCTCTCACCGAGTCTTGCACTAGCCCAGAGTCACAGAGCCAGGAAGTGGCCGTGCCCTCACCAGTGCGGGGACGCGGGGCGGTTGTCACCGCGTACATCAGATTCACCTGGAGTCCCCGTGGAACGCCAGAGCCCTAACACCTCCTCCAGACCCAGAACTTTACAATCTCCAGGGTTCTTAAAAAATTTTTTACATATGTTTACTGATTTTTTTTGAGAGGAAAGGAGAGAGAGAATCATCAATTGTCTGCCTCCCACATGCGCCCCCTTATGCACCCTCACCGGGAATTGAACCCACAGCCCAGGTATGTGCCCTGACCGGGAACCAATCCACAACCTTTTGGCATGCAAGACGATGCTTTAACTGAGCCACATGAGCCAGAGCTCCTAGGGTCTTAGTTTAATTTTTAAGTATATTTTATTGATTATGCTATTACAGTTGTCCCAATTTTTACCCCCTGCCCTGCTTCACCTGGTACCCCTTTACCTCCAGCAATCCCCCCCTTAGTTCATGTCCATGGGTCATGCATGTAAGGTCTTTGGCTTCTCCACTTCCTATGCTGTTCTTCACACGGCCCTGTCCATTTTGTTCCTACAAATTATGCTTCTTAATCCCTGTACTTTCCCCCCATTCTCTCCCTGCCCCCTCCCAGCTGATAACCCTCCACATGACCTCCATACCTATGATTCTGTTCCTGTTCTAGTTGTTTGCTTGGGTTTTTTTTTGTTTTTGTGTTTCTTTAGGTTTTGTTGATAGTTGTGAATTTGTTGCCTTTTTAATGTTCATGGTTGATCTTCTATTTCTTAGATATGGCCCTTTAACACTTCATGTAAGTGCTTGGTGATGGTGAACTTTAACTTTACCTTGTCTGGAAAGCACTTTATCTGCCCTTCCATTCTAAACGATAGCTTTGCTGGATAGAGTAATCTTGGATGTTAAGTCCTCGCTTCCACTACTTTGAATACTTCTTTCCAGTCCATTCTTGCCTATAAGATTTTCAGAAATCAGCTGACAGGCTATGGGCATTCCTTTGTAGGTAACCCTCTGCTTTTCTCTTGCTGTTTTTAAGATTCCCTCTTTATCTTTAAACTTTGGCATTTTAATTATGATGTGTCTTGATGTGGTCCTCTTTGGGTCCAACTTGTTTGGGACTCTCTGTGCTTCCTGGACTTGTGTGTCTATTACCTCTGCCAAATTAGGGAAGTTTTCCTTCGTTATTTTTTCAAGTAAGTTTTCAATTTCTTGCTCTTCCTCCTCTTCTGGCATTCCTATGATTTGGCTGTTGGCACATGTGGAGATATCCCAGAGATTCCTAAGCCTACCCTTGGTTTGTTTGTTTTTTGTTTTTTTTTTCTTAGTTCTTGTTTCTTCTTTTTATTCTGGTTGAATGTTTTTCTTCCTTATGTTTCAAATTAATTTGAATCCCAGCTTCCTTCCCTTCACTATTGGTTCCCTGTGGATTTTTCTTTATTTCACTTAGCGTATCCTTCATTTCTTCCTTTATATTGCTGCTGTACTGAGTGAGTTCTCTGAGCATCCTGATCACCAGTGTTTTGAACTCTGCATCTGATAGTCTGGCTATCTCTGTTTTGTTTAGTTCTTTTTCTGGGGTTTTGTTCTGTTCTTTCCTTTGGACCATATTTCTTTGTCTAATTAGTTTGGCAGCCTCCCTGTGTTTGTTTCTCTGCATTATTAGGTAGGACTGCTCTGAGTCCCTGTCTCAGTAGAGTGGCCTATTATAGAAAAGGCACCTGTAAATTGTGTGGGGCAGAGCCTCAGGTAAGTGCCAGCGGGGCAACCCGCTTCACTTCACCACTTTGTGGCTCTGTTGGGGGAGGAAGGAGGACTCGGAGAGGGGGCAGTGCTGCTGCCTGGTTTCTGGAGGTTTGCCCAGCACTTGCCCCACTTCCAGTCACTTCAATCAC